TCATCATAAAACCTTAACCATAATCACCAAAAATAGTTCAGATGCACCAAGAAAGGTATTCTATATGCCGAATATTCACTATTTATAATATCTAATATTACTGGGTAATATTTAATAACTTTAGTTACTGCTTTTATGAATCCCACATTTCTACATTGTATATGATATGCCGAATATTCACTATTTATAATATCTAATATTATTGGGTAATATTTAATAACTTTAGTTACTGCTTTTATGAATCCCACATTTCTACATTGTATATTTGCAATTAAAATTTCAAATTTTATGGCAAAATAATACTGTCCATATTGCTTCATTCCTATTTTTAAATCATATACCTAAATCAAGTTCAAATGATAAATTACTAAATTAATAAATATTGCTAAGCTAATATTTATTCAAAGATTATTGAATAATCTACTTTTATATTTTGAGATTCAGTCTAAGTAGAAAATTTCTAATTTAACTAAGGATCAGGTTTATTATTCTGGCTTCAATGGATAAATAGAGAGCTTAGAAAAAAAAGTAAACACACACGGACAATTCCAAAACAATGCAAAATTTCCAAAACAGGATAAAAAAAAAAATACAGTAACTTTAATTCAGAATAATTTTCTTCCTAAATACCCAAAGTAATTTTTTAAGTATACCTCATATTTTGACAATGGTCTTACTTAGAAGGTGGGAGACATCTGCAACTCACCTTTGGACACCATAAGGCCTTTCTAAAATAGGCTCTTGGAATGGAGGCGGAACGTGACCAAAATAATCAGGATAAGCCACTTCTGAATATTCCGGGACAGACTTTGTACTTTTCACAATCTCAATATAGAGGTCTGGGTCATGCAGTGTTGGTCCATCAGGTACTTCAATAGATACCTGTTCCACTGATGAATTAGACTCGGTATCTCCATCATCTTCAGTTTCAACTCCAGTACAGCAAAGCTTCCCTAGCTGAACTGTTCTTCCCTCAAACAGAACATTTCCACAAGTGGCCATGTGGGGACATGCTTTAGTGCACGTAAGAACACTAAGGGGGAGGCTGTAGTCCTTCTTTGTTTCTGCAGTAAAACCTGGGGCTGTGTGAGAAGGAATATTCTGCAATGTAATTCGGTCCAAGGCCTTTACGATATCATTGTTTAAGCCACGGACTGATGAAATAGTTCTATTCTGGTCACCTAGCTGCTGTTGTAATGTTCTGTCATTATCTTTAATGTCTTCTTTTGCTAGATTCATAAAGGTAGGTTTCTTATCACCTTCATCTTCTTTAGAAGATACCTTCTCCTTCATTACAACTCCTTTTCTTAATTTGCCTGAATTCCCAGATGCTTCCTCTCCTGCCGTAGGCACAACAATAGGAGTACGTACTTTTCCCTCAAATACAAAAGGCTTTGGTTCTTTGGAGATTAAGTCATAGTCCTTTAAAAATAAAAAATATGTTTAATCTTATCTGAAAATATAAAAATACATTAACAAAATTAAGATCATATTCATTTTATATTCTGCTTCAGAAACTAACATTTAAAAATTTTAAAGATGGATGAAATAGAATGTTTTAATTTCACTAATAATATTTAAACACAACAAAATTCATAACACTTATCTTTTCTATTATAAAAATAATTCTATATATCACAGAAATATGGGAAATTTTAGAAAAGCAGAAAGACATTAAAATCATCCAAAGTCCTATTAGGAAAAACACAATGACTAAATTGTTATTCATTAATTCAACAAACACTACAGAGTGTCTATTTTGTGCAATATTTATGAAGCTTCTGTTATATGTAATATTTATGGAGTGTCCATTTTGTGCCAAGCCCTGTTTCAGGCACTTAACACTTATCAGTTTAAAAAAAAAAAACAACAACAAAAAAACACCTCTTCCCTGTTACAGCTTACATTCTTACAGAGGTGGAAGGGAGAGGACTATCTCTACAAGTGATAAACACTATATATTTTATAGAACATTAAAAGGGTAAAGTGCCATCACAAGAAAAAAGAGGGGATAGCAACATGCGGATTGGGAATGCCAGGGAGAGGAGTGGTGGGTGGCAATTCTAAATGCCAATGGTTATGGGCCGGCCCGGTGGTGCACTGCTACAGTGCGCCGCTTGGGAGCGTGGGGGCACTCCCGCCGAGGGTTCGGATCCCACATACAGACCGGCCGCTCACTGGCTGAGCAAGG